CCACACAGAAGAATCTCATTCTGGTCTAAGTGAAAACACAGCTTGTCTCCAAGGAAACATATATATCGCTAAGACTCCAATACTCTCAGTAGGTACAGGCTACATCTTATTCTCCTTTCTTCCCTCCTCATTCTGGGTATGGACTTCCTCAGAAACTAATTTTAAAAGACTGGAAGAGATCCTACTTGCTCTTCTTTTTAATTACAAGTTAATAGAACAAATTAATATACAGGGCACACATAAAAAATCACAAGCTTTGCTAAGTTCCTGAGTAATGAAAATCCTACTCAAATGTGCTTCTCAATTCCCAGCAGCCTTTGCTGGGCTTAGCAGTAAAGGTGACCAGGTGGCGCCTCCATGCTGTTCGGCCAGGAACTGAAAACTGGCTCAGAGGCGATGCCAAGAAGGTGGGCTCAGGAAAAGTGGCAATGACAGCCCCCCTGAATCCCAGGAACCCAGAACCGTTACTCAGTGACCACGTACCCACCCCCCACTGCTCCTCTGTACAGCGCTCAGAAGCTCTATGGAATCCATTTTAACCTTGGCAAACACAGCAAGACGGAGCCTACAATTGGTACTTAATAAAGCAGCTCTTCAGACAAACTTTTGGCTTTAGCAACAGATATAAATGCGTTAAAGCCACTGAGAAGCTATGAAAACCACAAATTTGCAAAGCAAAAACTCGGATTAAACAGAAAGGGGAGAAAATTAACAACAAAATTAAGCGCCAACTGGTACAGCAAATCTTGTGATCCGAGCAGAGGATAACCAAGGGAGCACTGAGGCTAGACTGGAAAATCCCATGCCTTAATTCTAAAGTACCTTGGTCAAGGTCATCTGGAAAATTCGGCACAGGATGAGCCCCTTAAAATTGTCTCCCCAGTTCTACTGCAGAATGAAAACCGGCTGTTCTCCATAAACTTTTCCCTTGACATTTGCACTGCAATCCCAGGCAACATTTACAAAGGGTGAGACCCAGAAAAAGACAAAAATCATTGTTGTCTGAAAGCATGAAGACTGGCACAAAAGGCTTTTGCACAATTGGAGGAACTACCAGCTGAGGCCGCCCAAACAGCGAGGCTCCCCCAGGGGCCAATTTGCTGCTCCAGATCCAGTGCAGTTCAATCCCACTGTGAGCACTCACTAATGGCTTTGGCAATTCTGCCGGAAGCACTCTGAAAAGGTTGCTTGCCCTGGGCAGAAGTCAGTACCCAAATGGAGCCCTGTATTTCTCACCCTGTGAAGGAAAACTGAAGGTCTTCTTTTACACTGAGTTTTCAACATTCTACAGTAACGACAATGAAAAAGCCTGCAGACTATGTATTTTCTTAGAAAGTAGATGGCTTTCTAACAATCAGAGCTTTCTAAAAATGGAAGGCATCGCTGGGGGAGATTGGGTTCCCTATCGCTGGACAGAACCCAGCAGATGCTGGTGACCAACTGGCTAGGACGTCACTGGAGGGACTTGGACACAGGGCGAGAAAAGATTCGGTGACTCCTAGGATCCCAACCAGTGAAAGTCTCTAAGAAAATGGAGGTGATTATCCAAGTAACGACAGAGGGGGGGGGAAAAAAAAACTCTTGCCACAAATCTAATCATTACTACATAACACAGGAAGCCCAGTCTGGCGCTCTATGATGTAGAGGGGTGGGATGGGAGAGGGATGGGAGGCCCAGGGAGGAGGGGAGATATATATAATTATGACTGATTCACATTGTTGTAGGGCAGAAACCAACACTGTAAAGCAATTATCCTCCATTTAAATAATAAATTAAAAAATAAAATTGTGGTGGGGGAAAAAGACTCAGGTTTTCCAAAGTGCACCATCCTCCACAAAGACACAGTCTCATTGTTTTCCACAAATGAAGTATAAATGGTTGGAATGGTTGGAATCCCACTGAAATAAACACTATGGTATGATACAAAAGTTTTGGAGGAATCTTTGGGCACAGGCTTCTGATCCACAGTAACCCTCCATGAACTAACAGGCTCAGTAACAGCTTCTGCAATACAGTTGTCTGGGGGTGCAACATTTGTATTTGTTGGGATTAACTGACTTGTTCTTAGACAAAAAAAGAAATTACAAATGTGACTGAGCCTATCTGAGCCTTTCTGAAAATCCATGCAGAGAATCACAAGATAGATTTAGTAACTGTGTTCATTTCAAAGATAACCAAAAGGATTAGGCCAGCTGTACAATCTGGGGAAGGTTATCCGACTAAATGAAGAGACGTGATGACCCATTGTTCTGATTCCTGTATCAAAGCTCACAGAATACTCTGTCTTCCTTCACAGAATTTTGCAATCATAATTACAAAACTCATTATTCATTTTGTTACGTCTATCATTCATGCTCAAACTTCCAGAAAGGCAAAGGTTTCACTGCATCCTCAGTGTCTATATCTTTATTTAGTACATGTGAAAAAGAATAAAAGGTATTTATTGAATAAAAGGGTACTTGTCTATACAGCCACTATATTACCAAAGTGAAGATATCTGAGAATAGTGGGTATAGACAAGGATGTGGAGAAATGAGAATACTTATACACCAGGTGGGAATTTGATATTTTCAAATGAGTTTAATGATAAGCACACCTAATGCCCTAACAAATTTACTTCTGTGCATATGTCCTAAATAAACTAAATTTATGTATACTAGATTATATGTTAGAATGTTCATTGCTCATAGTTGCCCCAAATTGAAAACAACTAAATATCCGTCAGCAGTAAAATGGATTCATGAATTTTGATATTTTCAGGCAAAAATTAATTCAATAGAAAGCAAATATTAAGAAGTAAATCTCAAGTAAATAGCTTGTATCATAAAAATTAACAGAGTTGTATAAATACTGACATAGGACAATGAGAATGAATGAACTAAAGCATCACGTAACAACATAAATAAATCTCACAAGGGTTAGTGAGGAAAAAAAAACAGGATGCAAAAGAACACATATTGTATGATTTCATTCATATAGAAATCAAAAACAAGGCAAACTGAACTATATGTTTTAAGGATGTAAAGGTAAGTTCTGAGTTCTACCAAACATTCAAAATGTATACAAACTCTCCCAAAGAAAATATGGACTATGTATGGATCATGTTTGGATCCAGATTTGAATTAACTAGCTGTTTAAAAAAAAAAAAGACATAGAGAAACTTGAACACTGAGTGAATAATCATCTAAAGGAATCATTTTTAGGTGTGATAATGGTATTGCACTAATGTTTCAAAAAAATTTTTTTTTCTTACCTTTTATTATCTTTCAGAGATTTATAGCAAAGCAATGAAGAAATGAGAAATGATGTTACGTGGGACGTCCTTAAAAACAGACTGATTCAGTGAAGGGGGATATGACAGGAAAGATGATCAAGACGCGTCAGTGTGCTAACAATCATTGACCCCAAGTAATACACATATGAATTTATTACACATTCTACTTCTCTATTCCATTGAATTTTAATGGAATATAAAATATAAAGGAACAGAAGGAGAAAGGGAGGGAGGAGAGATCTCTAGATAGATCAATATGTGTAGAAAATGTTTTGGCAGGATATATTTCAAAATGTTAAAATGTTTAAGTGGTTATCTCTGGGCTAACATGATCACAATTTTTAGAAAATGTTACAAATTTATCATCTCTAGTGGAGATTACTGGTAACTTTTAGTCTCTTTTTGCTTAGCTATGTTTTCTAATTATTTCTACAATGAACGTATCAGAATGCTTCAAAACTTGTTTAAAAAGATAGAAGACTGCCAAAAAAGAAAAAGCCTCCCGCTTAAGTTCACATTTCTTAACTATTTCTGGGTCCTAGTCCCCTTGCAAAATCTGCTGAAAGTCATTCTCTCCCCTAGAAATGCACAATCCTTCAGAATTTTTCATAGTGTTAAACTTTGAGACCCCAAATGAGCCCGTGCTCTCTATATCATTAGTAGTTAAAATAATAAATACTAAAAGCTGATTTTTACTGCATACTTGGCTGGTATGTGCCAGGCATAGTTTTTAAGTGCTTTCCAAGAGTTAACTCGTTTAATCCTCCCAGCAACCCTGGGGCTTCCCTGGTAGCTCAGTCGGTAAACAATCTGCCAGGAGTGCAGGAGACCTAGGTTCAATTCCAGGGTTGGGACGATCCCCTTGAAAAGGAAATGGCAACCTGCCCTAGTGTTCTTGCCCGGAAAATCTTATGGACAGAGGAGCCTGGTGGGCTTCAGTTCATGGGGTCACAAGAGTCGGACACAACTTAGCACCTAAACCAACAACCAGCAACCCTAGGAGATAAGCAGTCTCATCACCTCCAGTTTACAGATGAGGAGAGTGAGGTCAGAGAGGCTGGATAATCTGCATCAGGTCCCACAGCTCCAAACCTGGCAGCCTGGCCCTAGAGTTGGGCTTTATCTACCACATCATGAGGTCACTCACAGAGTTAAATCAAACATACGAAGCCAACGTGACCTCCTGAATCACCCTCTGGGAAACGTCTTCAAATTCAACACTAAGTGCCTACCATGTGCCAGACTCCAGGCCCTGCAACAGCGCTATCAGAGATTCATCCCAGACACCCAGCTAACTGCTGGAAGATCATAAGTCAGGCCTGTCTTCTGAGTTCAAGTTCACCATAGCACAGCTGATTCCCTTTATGCCAAGGAAATGGTCTGTTCTAAGTCACACATGACTTCCTCGTGGCCCAAATCTTTTCAAGATAACTGGCAGAGGTCCAATTCAATAGTTCAACCTTTAGACCCTCAAATTAGCCCATGCTGCAAAGCGATCTAAGTTTTTGAGATTTTTCCCTCATCACTCTACTTCCACCGGCTGAGACATCTTAGATGGAGACAAGCTTCCAAAGTTTGCATCTGACGCTCACACATATAAACAGAGCAGTCTATATACAAGAAAGACAACTGCTAGGTGCTATGATGTCACACTGCACTCACACACAACACAGCTCACGCACAAATATGCACAAGCAAGTTACATGAACGCCCTCGTGATGCTTACAGTTTCACAGTTCAAGCATCGAGTTTCATTGGTGAGCGTTCCCTGAAAAATCTCATGGACCCAGGTGAGTTCTGGTTTATTATTCTCCGCAGGTTCATTCATGTTGCCATTTTTTAACTTTCCATTTTGTTTCTCCTGTTTCTTCTCTTCCTGCAGGATGTCCGCAATAGTGTTTAGCAAATAATTTAAAAATTCGTGGGCGTCCTGCTGCATGTAGTTATCAAAGAGATCTGGAAAGGAGAGGGTTGTTATTTCAGTCTCTGGCTCTTGAAAAGCAAAGGAAATGCTTAATTTTACAAACCACATTTCAATTTTTATATTGAAAGAGTGGACATGTATGGGATATATTCACCTCTATCTTGCAACTTTAATGGATAAGTTTTTTAAAATATTTTTTGTTCACTTCTACTTTTTACCACCAAGAACTAAATTTTCCCAATCTCCCTCTGTAAAGTCATCATATATATATACAGCTACAAACATTTCTATTTGCTCTACAAAAAAAGAAAAGAACAGGAAATACTTGAGCTCCCTGATAAAATATCAGTATTTAATATAGTATGACCACCAATGATCAATTATTCACTTTGTAATCTATCCAGAGTGATGGGGTCTCTTCCCAAAGACCATATGGAACTCTGGACCAGCCTGGAAGCAGCTTAAATGAAACACATAAGGGAGAAGAGAGATATATACGAGAATGTATCTATATGATAGCATTCTGAAACCAGATACAGAAGATTCCAGCAGCCTGTTGCTGCTCCCTGCCATAAGGACAAACAATCAAGAGATGAATGCAGCTGTGAAACTTCATTATTAATCATGTTCACAAGGGAGACTTGGGAGGGTTCTGCTTCCTTCTCAGATTATTTTCATTCTGGTCTGTATAAGCTACAACAACTTCAAAAGACAGCAATCAAATTAAATGAGACTTTATAAAACAAACATCTGATTAACTGTGCAAGTCTGTTGCAACACGGCTGAAATCTAGGCTAACCACAAGTTGCCATATCAAACATTTCTATAGTCATAAATTTACCCATGCAAAACTTCTGGAATAACCTCGTCTCTACCACCACGTCACCCCCAAAAGAACAGATACAGGAGAAAAAAAAAAGGAAGAAAATCAAGTGACAGCAGGACATTTTTACTATAGAAAAATATCAATTTGATATCCTTCAACTCTTTTAGACATATAAAAATCAGAGGTATTATTTTCAAAACAGCAGAGGCTCTAATTAGATAATGTGCATTTAGCTTAATCACTTATGATAAGTTTATAAGACAGTACTATTTTATTCAATTATTACATCAACCTATTTATTCCAGTCAGTGTCCTGCCTTGGGCAATTTTTACTCTTATAATGATCCTACCCAGAAAAAAGTCCTCCTAATGTGGAGCAAATAAAAAGATCATTCCATTTTGAAATGATAAATTACTTTTTTTTTTTTTTTTGGCCATGTGGCATGTGGGATCTTAATTCCCTGACCAGAGATTGAACCCACACTCCCTGCAATGGCAGTGTGGAGTATTAACCACTGAACCACTAAGGAAGTTCCAATCAGAATTTTTAAGTATTTTTTTTTAATCCAATTTTGCTTTATATACGGGGTGGAAAAGAAGAAATTATCTTTTATTTAAAAACAGATATTTGAGTAATTGGCCATAGTATTTTCCCATTAAAAAAAAAAAAAAGGGATTCATTTTGAGGTTACACAGACCTGTTGATTCTCCTTATCTGAAACACATTCGTCTCCATGCTACTCACCATTTTCTTTTCTTAGCCTCGAAATGAACTTCTTTGGTGGGATCACGCCGACCTTCTTCTTCTGCGTGGCGATGCTGTGGAAAAGATCTGCCAGGCATGTCAACAAGTTCTCTTTCTTTTTTTGCTGGGCCTTGTATGCCAGCACATTCTCCCGGAACGGCCGGCAGAAGTACAGAGCCTGAAGAACGGAGTTACAGTAGCATGTGTTTCCAAACTGCCAAAGGACAAGAAGGGCGATTTAAATCAGGGTTCTCTGGACCAGCGAGGAGAGGGAGGGGCAGGCCTTGTGTGAACTGGCCCAGATACCGTGTCATGGTCTGCGTGCCGTGGCAGACCAGTAAGCCATGCAGAACACCGGTGACTATCTGATCACCAGGGAAATGAATGCTAGTATACACAAGCTGGAGAGCTCGCTAGTCTATAAAAGTCTCTATAAAATGATAAGGAGCACTCAGCCTTGGTTTTTAAAAATCTAATGAGACTTTCTGGTGCTTAAAAGAGAGAGTGTAGAAAAAAAAAATCAACATGATATGGAGACACAGAAAAGCAGCTGGCGACACAAAAGATGTCACATTGCAACATATCAAAGCTCCTATGACAGGGAAAATAAAAACCCCAATCAGAAAGAAATCCAGCTACTAGGAACCACCTGCTCAGCTGAAACAGCCTTAACCGAGTGGGGACTTGTTTTAAGTTTCTCTCTTTCAAGGGTCTGGCACTCCTCCACAGGCTTCAGACCAATTTCCTCACTTTCTCCATAGCAATCTTGTTTCTGCTGAAACAGCCACTGTCTCAATACAATACCACATAGGTCCTGGTCTCCTGCCATCATAGTAGGACCCACAGAGAAACATTTCGCACTTCTCAAAAGCCACGGTTATGATTTAAAGAGGCAAAAAGTCATCATTTCACTGGTTTTCAAGTGACTGGATAACCAATTCTATGGGAGAACACATAGCTGAGACATTCATTTCAGAATTTCTCATACGCGCTAAAATAAAGAGGAAAACCATCTAAGACAATTAGAAGATTAATAGCAGATTAGAAAATGCTGTGTAAGATTAAAATAGAACACAAACATCTTCTCAAGCCTGGTTGTTGGCTGTGTTTCATCTGCCCAAGAGTGAAGCAGATGCATGGCCATCCTTAACGTGACATTTCTTCATATGCTAAGATAGAACACTTCCTATTTTTATACATTTTAATCTACTTTGACACAATTATGTGATGAGACAAACCCCTTTTTAAAGAGAAGCTGTTAACTTTCACGAACTACCATTTGAAGTGAACATGTATAAAACTATTAACGGGTTTAGAACTTACAATGCTTCCACAGACTAGGAGATGGCTTTAGTTCTTTATTCCTCCATAGTCTGCATCTGTCTTTTCCCTGGCCAAGGTAGAATTCCCGCAACTTGAATAACTACCCTCATAGAGCTTAAGCAAGAGGCCTTTGCACAATGCCTAAAAAGTTACATTAAAATTATAAGTCAGTATTCCATCAACACAGTGCCCTATATTCCAGTACTTTAGCCTTCTCCTTCCATTCTTTTCTTTACTCAGTGCCTCAGCTTTAGCCAGACACCCTTTAGTAACACTTGGTCCCTGGACCAGTGAACAACTCCTGGGAAAGAAAAGGAACTAACGTGTACCGAGTGTCACTGTGTGCCTTGGCCTCATGTCAGGACCTCCAATAGGAGCTCTCATGGATCCTTCACTATAAGCCAAAGGGTAGAAACCATTTCACAGAGGGCGAAATGGAAGCTCAGAGAGGGGAAGGGACTTGCCCACGATCACACAGCTGGGGAAGAGCACAGGCAGACCTTGGATTCAGTCTGTACTAATTCAGAGACAATGTCCACTCTTATTCCACAAGCGGCATTCACTCAGAACACTCCCAGTAGAAATTATGACCGATGACACCTGCGTTCTGACAGACCATGCTCAGAGCAGTTGTTCCAGAAAACCTGGTGCTTTGGAGGAAACCGCTGATGTTATTTAAATCCTCCACCCCAGAGAGAAAGGGTCAGCTAGAGAAGAAAGCTCATGAGGGTGGTGGGTAATATTGCCTTACTACCCGGCCATCATGAACTTATCCGGGACACAGAGCCTGCCAAGTCTGGCTGTATACAAGGGGACCGTTGCTGAGCACAAGTGAAATGAGGCCAAGGGATTTAGAGATAGACTGGCCCCAGTCTCCCCCCACTTCCCACTGATGCTTCAAATACCAAATTATGCCGTGAAGCACCCGCTGGTGCTGAGCTGGTAACCCTTTCAACACTCGGGCTGAGCTGATGAGCCCACTCAGATGGTAAGGGAGGACCACAAAAGCAGGTCTTGCTACAAAGGCTGATAACATCACTCTGAAGGTTAGTGTGCGAAGGAAACCCTTTAAGGCACGGGGCAAAATGAGACTCTGACCTAATAATGCACCAATTAAACCTCCTCTTCATGGGCAACTCTTGCTTCCAAAAACTGGACTAAATATCCCCTACTTGGGTATTTCCCACCTATGGTAACCAAGGAGTATGAACGATTATTTAAAACTTGGTAATGATGAAAACTGCAGTGACATTGCTTCAAGAATGCTGAGACACCTGACTAAAACAGTACGTTTCAAAATACTTACATTGACCAATCCAAAGTAGTGTTCATTGATCGGAAACTGCTCTGGGCCAATGTCTTTTTCCAGAGCAGAGGCATTGGTGCCCTAAAAGAGAAAAACAGCAAAAGTTCTGCTGAGTGTAAAACAGACAAGAAAGCAAAAGGCTACTTGAGAGCGCCCGCTATTGAGACCAACATTTCCCCTAGTGGCCACGGAGTCCGGAGGTGGTCACGCTGAAAACAGGTATCGGAAGTAAACTGTAGATGAGGTAATGAGGTCAGCCTGTTCCTCTCCTCACCCAACTTCATTGTCCCTCAAACCTGTTCTACCCAGTTTCAATGACCTTCCATTAGGAAAGGAGGTTTAGGACAGGTACCGAACCTACCACTCAGAACTTCCAAATAAAATGTTCTAAGCTCAGATTCCTGGAGTAGCTTTTACACTACTCAGAGGTGTACAGAATCGTACAACCAATTTCAAAGTCAATGGTGTGTGTCTGATAAAGATTTATCTACTGTGCACCCACCACATGCCAGGCACTATTCTAGGCTCTGACAATAGAACAGTGGACAAAGACAGTCTGAAAGAAAAAGCAAGTACAATGCACAGCACATCAGAATGCGATGAGTGCCGTGGAGAAAAGCAAAGCCGGAAACGAGGGCAGGGGCTCCAGGGAGCGGGGAGGAGGGAAGGACTGATAGCTGCAGCTTTAAATAGGGTGGGCAGGGAAGGCCTTACTGAGAAAGCAGCATGTCCAAGGACATATAAATAATGGAGACATAGAATTTAAAACCTAACTGTTCTCAAGTGTATCAAGTCGTAAGCCATGCATACTCAAGTTCAACACTCCAACGTGAGGATAATAAGTTACTGGATGCTCCCACTGTGTGCCAGGAACTGCACTGTTTATTCTCACAACATTCCTATCTGGTAAATTGTTGTTCAGTTGCTCAGTCGTGCCCAACTCTTTGCAACTCCATAGACTGCATACAAGGCTCCTTCACTATCTCCTGCAGTTGGCTCAAACTCATGTCCATTGAGTCAGTGATGCCATCCAACCATCTCATCCTCTGCCGCCCCCTTCTCCTCCTGCCTTCAGTCTTTCCCAGCATCAGGTCTTCCCAGGATCCAGTGAGTCAGCTCTTCACATCAGGTGGCCAATGTATTGGAGCTTCAGCATCAGGTAAGTACTTACTATTATAATCCCCATTTAAAAGTTAGGAACTTAAGGTTTCGAATGGTTGAGAATCTGTCCAAGAACAACAGTCAATAAGTGGCAGAGCTTAGACTTGAACCCTGGAGTCAGACTTGGGATTTTACAGTCTTAACCAAATACTATGCAGAGCAATCCTACTGAATAAAACCATTTCCTGAGCCCTGCTAAGCCCTGAGCCCTGGCAATACCTCACTGATGATCATTTTCCCCCAAGGCCTGGATACTGGGATTAGGAAAAGTGACCAAAGTTCAGTCCAACCAGGGGAGTAATCTGGGGGTGGGGAGGACCAGGCCCCATGGTTACCTACAGCTCCACATCATTCTATGCTCCTCAAATCCTCGGGCTATCACAGAAGACCTACAGCTCACAGACTCTCAAAGATCTGGGAGACAGGCATTTTAAAAAGAGACTCTTAGGCTTTATAAAAAATAAATCCGCTGCTGCTACTTATTCTGGATTCGTATAGTTAGAATCTCCTATCACAGAAAGAAATGGCCAAAAGGCAAGCTAAGAACCTGTCAAGATGGTCATGTGTCAACAAGCAAGCATTAAATGCAGAACAACTCAATTCTGAGCAAACAGAACCTCAGCAGAAATAGTACATTCCATCCTCTTATCATAATATCCTTTGTTTCCACTTGTCCATTATACCGTTCCACCAATCTAAAGTCCCTTACTCGTCACCGGAGACTTAACATTCAGTGGCCATTTGTGTGCACAACAGTTTCACTATCTTTTAATGGTGAGGGGTCCGGCTGGGGGGTAGGGAGCGGTTCGTTGCCTTCACAATGATGTGACTCCATATTCAGGCTCAATTCTTAAAATAATACTTCATTAAAGCAGGATTTCATGGAACTGAAAAAAAATCACTAATATTTTCCAATAAAGCTACATCTCGATCATAAATTGATGTAGACAATGTGCATTAAATACACGCGCGGCCATTTCTGAAGCAACGTTAGGACATGTGGCTTAGTGCCCAGGAGGAGTGTCAGGTACAAAAGCAGGACACATGGAGACAGATCTCACTAAATCTTTCTTTATGAGGCAGCCATTTACTCAACCCATGCCTTCTGCTACTTGGGAACTCTTGAATGGAATCTGCTTTTTTCTATCTTAACACTTTCCCACCGAAGAGGGAGCTGGTGAGGGTGGGAGGCAGGGCTGGTTGTGACTCAGGCTGACCACAGTGACTGGGGGCTGGGGCGGGGGGTGGCGGTGGTGCTTGAGAGGACACCCTGGACAAGAGGCAGCGGGGGAGGCGGCACCCACAGCACAGCTCAGGAAGAGGGAAGGGAGCTAACAGGGTCTTCATGAAACCTGAGACCCACACGTCCTGGCCACGCCGCAGGTCAGGCCTGCTCATCCTCTCGCAGGAGGTCTGGAAGGCTCAGGGGGAGATCTGATACCCTGGGCTGCTTCCAGATCACTGCAAGGTCACCCTTTTGTCAGAACAGCTACCCTCAGACTTCCCTGGGGGCCCGCTGGTTAAGAATCTGCCTGCCAATGGAGGGGACATGAGTTCAACCTCTGATCTAGGAAGATCCCACGTGCCATGGAGCAACCAAGCCTGTGCCTGCAACTACTGAGTCTGTGCACCCTAGAGCCCATGTGCCGCAACTACTGAAGCCCGCAGGTCCCAGAACCCACACTCTGCAGCAAGAGAAGCCACCGCAATGAGAAGCCCATGCACTAAACTCGCAAGTAGCCCCTGCTCGCTGCAACTAGCGAAAGCCTGTGGAAATAAATACATAATTTTTTAAAATGTGCCCTCTGCAGCCCATGCCTCCCAGCACTGTACAAACCCCTTCCTTTCTCCTCATCTTGCCTAAACCCCATCCCCCAGTGACCTACCTTGACACCCCATCATACTGGGTGGTTTCAGGATCCACGTGAAAGCACCTTCCCACACCTGCTCTCTCAGTGTTGGCATCCTCTTTTGCAGCTGTCTTTCATTCCACTCCACTCCAGCTACCCACTCCCAAAGACACAGCCTGGATCTGGTCACCACCCCAAACCCAGGCAGGCTGGGCTCTGCCTGCCGGCGCATCCCAAAAAAGCCACACAGAGACTCGCCGGAACCCCTCACTCCTCTCCTTTCTCATCCAGCTTAGAGTCCATGGATCATGATTTCAATGGCTCTCATAAACACCCCCATACCCGTCCTTTGCTTATGCTACTTGGCAAAAAGTCAACCCAGAGGGGACCAAACTATCCACCTTCTCTGAACCCGGACAGATGAGCAACATTAGAGGGGAGAAGTCACACCCCAAGCTGACTGCACTCAACTGAACTCACCAAATTCAGGCAACTCTCAACATGCCTGCATTCCAATAGCGTTTCCCTAACATGCGCATTCTCCACTCCACAGTGACTATTTCCAGCCTTCTCCAAGCTCCTCAAAACTCTTACACTCCTTTGCCCCTCTCACTGGCTGCCCACTCAACAGCAAAAATAACAAAATAAAACCAGCAGAGAGGAACTTTCTTAATTACACACTCCGAAATCTTCAAACCTACATGCCTCCCTGTCAATGATGGAGATCTCGCTCTCGTCCAAGGTCAATTGCTCCTGCACTATTAGACCCTGCCCTGCTGAACTGAACATGCCTACCTGTCTCACATGTGAAAATACACACACACATCTTCTTCCCACATCTATCTCCCCAGTGCCCATCCTTTCTCACCTTCTTTTCACAGCTTAACTACTTTAAACAACTGTCTATTCTGAAACATTTACAAATGAATCAGATGATTTCTAAGAGTTGTTTCAAATAATCCAATGGGGAGAAGTGGGAGGTGGGGGGTGGGGATAAAACTCTGCTGTTGAAGCTGAGCATGGGTACGTGGGGCTTATTTTATCCTGTTTATACTTTTACATATATTATGGGCAGGGTAATGGTCTCCCAAAGATGCCTATGTCCTCACTCCCAGAACTTGTGATGACATCACGTTACATGGCATAGGGAAATTTAGATTGCAGAAGGACTGATTTGCTAATCAGCTGAAAAAAATAGGGGGATTGTCCTGGACCATCCAGTTGGGTGCCATGTAATCACAAGTATCTTTAGAAGTGGGAGACAGAGCAGGACGACCGATGAAAGCGATATGATGTGTAAGTCATGCTGACTTTGTAGGCGGAGGAAGGGGCCAGGAGTCAGAGAACCAAGCAGCCTCTAGAAGCTTAAAAGGTAAGGAAGCAGTTTCCACTAGAGCCGCCAGGAAGAACACAGCACTGTACTGCCTTCATTTTAGCTCAGGGAAACCCAGCTCAGACTTCTGACCTCGGGGCTATAAGATAATAAATTTGTGCTGTTTAAGCCACTTAAGGTCATGGTAACTTGTTACAGCAGCAAGAGGAAACTCATACACTGTTTGAAGTTTTCCATAACACGTGTTGAGACCTGTCTCTGTTTTCTCACCTCGCCACCTCTCCTCAAAATAGCCCCTTCTGGATGCTACCCTGATGCACTCCACACACGGTCAACTCTGGACGGTGCACACAGCTGCTAGCTTTCCGCAGCCACTGTCTGAGGTCTCCCTCCCCCGCTCCATGCCTCTCTGTGGAGGGTCCAGATAATAACCAGGCTTTAATCAGCAGCTATGTGCCAAACACCTCAAACTCTTCACCACCTTGATCGCTGAGAGTTCACTTCTGAGCTCATTCAGGCAGGATGAATACACATTTCCACTTGCTTGTCTCACAGACCCTCAAAATCATTCTACCCCAAGTTCTAGCTTTCATTTCTCCTTCCCCCCAAATCCACTCTTTTCCTGGTGTTTCTCCACTTCGTCCATGACAATGCTACCTTCATTCCAGCTCCTTCTACAAACCTCAGGGCCAGGTCCAACATCCTGCTCCCCACTCAACACTCATTCATCACAGTGT